TTCCCAGTCTTGGTTTGAAAGGCTAAAAGGCGGCATACTTCAGATTTTGGGCGCAAATAACATTGCCGCACACATCTCCCAGTTAAACGGGAATGTGAAAGAGTACGTGACGAACTAAACCTAAACGTACCAGTGTATCTATAAAACGTGATATGGCAATATAACGCCATATGCTGTCAAACCGAATTGCCGGAACCAACACGTAGAATTACTGACCAAACATTTGATAAAATCGACTTGGGATATAACCAATTAATACCATTTTCGTTTTTATTTGCGTGGTTGCGTCGCTCTTCACGGCCAACTAATGGTCATAATAGTTTAGAGCCATTTCTAAGAGGTCAACTTATGCGCAATAAGCTCTGAGGTATTCTGAGCTCATACAACTGCATGAGCCTTAAATTTTTATCAATCGACTTGATAAAGATTGAGATTGAGTTAAGTACAATAGAAAGGAAGTTAAAGTAATTGTAGGCGAAATGGTCTGGTGGAAACGATCGATTCCTGGTGGTATCAACAATTTCACCAGATTGCAAAATTGCGAAGAAGTGACAGTTTTGTGCTTCTAAAATGATTCAAAGATGAAAAAGTTGCGTAGGCTTCCAACAACGCGCAAATGGTCTAGTGGTAAAGATTACAGGCTCTGTGATGCAACATTGTGGTTCAAGTCCTACAGAAGTCATTTTGGAATTCGAAAATGGTTGAATTTTAATTATCCAAGCTACAGAAAAAATAGTTGCGGTAGGCTGCCAACAAGTAGCAAGTGGTCTAGTGGTAAAGACTCCATGCCGTGTAATGTACCTTTCAAGTTCAGATCCTACAAATGTCATTTTCGAAAGGTTAAGGTGAACAAGTTGCGGTAGGCTATCAAAAATAAAGTGAATAAGTTGCGATGGGGCCCAACAACGAGCAAATGGTCTAGTGGTAAAGACTACTGGCTGTCTAATGTGCCATTGTGGTTCAAGTCCTACTGAGGTCGTTTTGAAATGTGTCGAATATTAATTATACAAGCTAGAGAAAAAAGGTTAAGGTGAACAAGTTGCGGTAGGCTACCAAAAAAAGAGCAAGTGGTCTAGTTGTAAAGACTACATGCTGCGTAATGTACCTTTCAAGTTCAGGTCCTACAAAAGTCATATTGGGATTCGAAAAGCTATAAAAAAATAAGGTGAATAAGTTGCGATAGGGTTCCAACAACGAGAAAATGGTCTAGTGGTTCCAACAGCTAGCAAATGGCCTCTGTAGCTCAGTTGGTTAGAGCGCTACACCGGAATCGCAGGGCCGTGGGTTCAATTCCTACCAGAGGACCTTGTGCTGCATTTTTCGCAGTCGTTCCTGGTTAGGTCTTAAAATGTATATATTTTCACTTGGATTACAAACCCTAACATCCTAATATTAATTCCACTAAGTGAAGTGCAAGAATCTAAGTTATTCTAGTGGTAAAGACTACTGGCTGCCTAATGTACCATTGTGTTGCAAGTCCTACTAATGTCATTTTGTGACTTGAAATGTGTCGAATATTAATTATACAAGCTAGAGAAAAAAGGTTAAGGTGAACAAGTTGCGGTAGGCTACCAAAAAAGAGCATGTGGTCTGGTGGTAAAGACTACATGCTGTGTAATGTACCTTTCAAGTCAGTTCAGGTCCTACAAGACTAGTTACATTCAGTGTTTGACTGCCCTATCAGTAATTCAACCCCAGAGAATAAAGGGTTAAATAAAATAGAAAGTGGAAGCCAATGCTGATAGCCTGTTCGACGGCCGCATAATTGGACCTCAGAGAGTAAAGGGTTAAATAAAACTAAAAGTATCAGCTACCAAGCAACAGGCACGATGGTCTAGTGGTCTCGGCTAAGTGTCGCATATCTGTGAAGTAAGGATCGTTTCCTGCCCTGACAAGGACCTTTTGGCCTTTGTCAGAGGTACGAATTAATTATAGGGTAGAGAAAAAGGATTAGCTATGACAGAAAACATTATGATTTCACCAATAGACCTAGTAATCTGGTGGTACCACTCAAAGCCTTCGGGTGCTATGGTGGAAGGATCGAGTCCGGGTAAGACCGGCTGAGACTTCGTGCTCAGGTAATCGATCTGACCGGCCGTATGCGGCGTGGAAAAAAAATCGGGCATTCTGTTTCCCCGAAACATCTAAGAGGAAACCCTGGCGTATCTTGCTCAAAAAGTAAAGAAAAAAACTTAGTAAAATTTTTCTTGTCCCGGCTCCCTTTCCGGGGGCTCTCGCCCTTCTCCTTCCCACCCGCACGCTGTCATGTCTCCTTCCCACCCGCACGCGCGCATGCGCCACACCATGGTAACGACTAAAGATTAGTTTCAATGCTAGTATCTTCTCCAAACATTTGCCCGGCCGCCATTTTCTTTTGTATTCTTCTTCTTTCGTCCGCCATCTTTTTGCTTTATCATTCTTTCATTCATCCTCGAACCGATCCTGATACACGACATTGGCTTTTACAGTCCGATATCGCTACCACTAGACCACTTGCTCGTTGTTGGAAGCCTACCGCAACTTATTCACCTAATTAACCTTTTTTCTCTAGCCTGTATAATTAATATTCGACACATTTCAAGTCACAAAATGACTTTGGTTGGACTTCAACCACAATGGTACATTAGACAGCCAGTAGTATTTACCACTAGACTATTTGCTTGTTGTTGGAATCCTATCGCAACTTATTCACCGTATTTTTTTCTCTAGCTTGTAAAATTAAAGTAAAATACTTAGTTAATTTGTAAAATTTTTGAATTACAAAATGACTTCTGTACGAGTTCCGCAATGGTAGATTACACAGCCTGTATTCTTTACCTCTAGATCACTTGCTCGTTGTTGGAATCCTAACGCAACTTTTTCACCTTAACCTTTTTCCTGTATCTCGCATAATTAAAATTCAATCAATTTCAAATCGCGGCTTGACTTCTGTAGGACTTAAACCATAATAGTACATAACACAACCTGCAGTCTTTACCACTAGACCACTTGCTCGTTGTTGAAAGGCTATAGCAACTTATTCACCTTGAACATTTTCTCTAGATTGCATAATTAGCACATTTCAAATCACAAAATGACTTTGTAGGACTTGAACCACAATGGTATATTACGCAACCTGTAGACTTTACCACCATAGATCAATTGTTCGTTGTTGGAAGCCTACCGCAACTTATTCACCTTGAACAACTTTTTCGCTAGCTTCTATAATTAAAATTCAACCATTTTTGAATCACAAAATGACTTCACTACGACCTGAACCACAATCAGTACATTACACAACTTGTAGTCTTTACCACTGGACCACTTGATCGTTGATGAAAGTTTGTAGCAACTTATTCACCTTAAACTTTTTCCCTAGATTGAATAATTAAAATTCAACCATTTTCGAATCGCAAAATAACTTCTGTACGACTTGAACCACATTGGTACATCACCCAGCCTGTAGTCTTTACCGTAGGAGAAGTTCCTATTTGTTGGAAGCCTAACGCAACTTACTATTAGAGAGGCTAAGATCCCCGGTTCCGATTTACGGGTACGAGTATCTACATTTTGTTTATCAATTTTTGCTGATGTCAGAATTTTTACCCGTAATTTCTACCCGTTTCCCCGCGTACGTGTATATCACCCGTACCCGTAAACCGGAACCGAGGTATCTTAACCTCTCTATTGTAGGAAAAAAATATTCGGTCCTGGCTTCACATACACGCTATACTTCGTCCTTTCCACCAGAGTATCTTGCCTCCAGCTGCAGAGTATCTTGCCTCCAACATTAAAATATCATCATGAGTCATTCCATTTCCATTGAGCATTGGCCAGTCTAGCGTTCATGCTCCACTCGTGACACTTGTAAACACGTGCAAAACTGGTTTTCTCTGCGATTCAAGGTTAAAAAGTTCACATTTACTTCTTGAAGCATTCATGTTATATATTTCTTTCCTAAAACAAGGTTTGCTTTGGTACAAGAGAAGAATCAAGGCCATTCAACATGGCCGCCGGTCTCAAAACATGACGTAATCCCCCCTTCAATAGATTGGCAATGCAGTCTTAATAGTACATGTCAATGGATTCCATGATACATAATTAACATGCCATTGTAGGTTTTGCAGGTAGTTATGACGAACAAAGCATGCTTTAACAACCTTTTCACATCTGTTCTGGCATAGCTGTTTTGAGTGGAGTTAAACGATTTATTTTTTTATGCTCTCTCAAGACTCTATACAACTGTTCTCCCTAATTGTGGGATACATACATGTGATAAGACACTGAAAGAGAAATTGCAAGCGCTTCAAAATCGTGCTGTTAGAGTCATTACTGGAGCAAAATATATTAGACTAAATTGGGATGCTCTTAATGTTAGACGTGCCAAGCTGAAGAGTATATGCTGCTGTATAAGGTCCTCAATGAGAATTCGGCGCTGTGAACTATAGCATATAGTAAGACTCAGAGATCTTAATAGAGATTACGATTTACGCAATTTGGAAACTGATTTAAAACTACCAAAACCAAAAACGAATTTCCTCCGGCGAAGCTTTAGATATAGTGGGTCGACATTGTGGAACAATTTTCGATCTGAGGAGGGGGGGGATGCAACCTCGCTTCATATAAATTTAGACGTTGCATACTTGCATTGTTTGATCTACTTAAACCGCGTAGATTTGAGTATACTATAGTTTAAATATAGTTTGCATAGATGGTTAGGTGTATGCTTCACGTAATCAGTTTTGTTCTTGAACTTCTTCAAGTTCCTTTTTAAGTGTTTAATTAACTTGTTAATTAATATGACCTAATGCATAGTAGTTGTAGAGTTTGGACGGAAACTATGTTTTAAGTTGGGAATAAAGCATAATCTTCCAAACCAATACAAGCAACAGGGCCTAGTAACAATTCGAATCCCCAGGTTGGAAATACAAAAGAGTTGATATACATAGCATATTAATAATATTAACATATATATATATATATATATATATATATATCATGAAAAAACAATTTGAAGAACAGTTGATTTAATGAATGAACACAATATATACAAATAAACATATTTACAAGAAAACAGTCTCGCTTAACAACAACTATAGCTTTGCATTTTAAGGTGGAAATTTAGTTTTTGAGACATTTTATGCAGCATAATTTAGTAATGCATTTGCATGGTGTTTATTGGAAGAACGAGAAACAATTTTCCCATATATTCATTTCATGCCCTTAGTGATAATGGGTATCCTGCGTTGCCTAGCAATATCTGAATGGTTCAAGGTTGCGCTATTCCATCTTCCAAGACGATCAATGTTTTACTGTAGCTCAGTCAATTATCGTTCGCGGTTAGCAAGTATTAAGTTGATTGATGAACGTTTATTAATGTCTGTTAAAGCGTCAGCAAATGCCATAGATCCACGAGATCCATCCACAAACTTTTCATAATGTAATCCCTATGATGATTACCTTATCTATATCTTTAAAAACGATTCTTATCTATTTCCGAACGAGGTCTTATGCTAACATTATTAATATCTGCTAAAACCCTCGCTCATGAAGTTAATCGTGAAGTACGACTATACTCAATAAATTCGGACTATCATAGGTTAATTATGTTCATGATTTAGTTGTTCCAATCCAGAAGGACGTTAATTAGATGTTTATTAATTATAATGTCCATGCATGCATTTAAAGTCATGTTTCCACTTTGCGTCCAACGCAACAACCATACCGCGGATAGGACATCTGCATGTTTACATATGAGATGTTGTTATCGTCTCAATTTCTGCAACAAACCAGTGGTGAGGCGGTTCGCTCTTCGAAGTGGTGCGCGGTGTATCGGATTGGTTTTTGCAACGCTCTCATTGTAATGTAAACACCGGACAATTGAGTTGGAGCAATTTTCGGTTAAATGCGGGACTAGCAAATAAAAAGTTGCGGGTATAGCTCGCTCACTATTTTAAATTATGTCTGCAATATTTTTGTATTTGGTATAAATTATGCAAGCAAATATGACGGCATAGTAAGGACGGGGGCGAAAGCTGTTTACACTTGGGCGGTAACGTTCCGCGAACGAAGCAAAAACCGATCCGATGCAATGTAAACATAGCCTTGGTAACTACAAATCTGTATTGCAACAGACATAACCAAACCTTATAACCTCCCTTGGTTTATAATCTAACCCAGAATAATGTCTGACTGATTAGCCGTTTATTTATGTCTGCTAAAGCGTCTGTAAAGTTAAATCGTGGATTAAGATACCATAAATCTGGATTATCCTCAATCTTTGTTTGTTGCGATGAGTTTTTGTTTACTTGATATAATTGGCTGTGTTGTCTAGTGTTCGAGGTCATGTGTTGGGGACCTGGTAACTTCCGTTTGTGACGTCGTTTCATCTGTGGTTTGTGTAAAGAACTGGTGATGTCCTATACGTTCAAAGGGAAAACAAATTCATCACTTAATGCACTATCGAACGGAATACTAAATAAGTTGAAAGGAGCGGGAATTATTAATTTTTCACTTTTCTGACAGATAGGAAAACATAAAAATGGGGCAGCAGAATTTAGCCTGTTTTTCTGAGCAAAATTAAATTGGAATTATACATCTACATTAAGGAAGGATCTATTATTAACATTACAAGTGAGCAATACCCGTCAAAGTCGCAGAACATGCATTGTCGGTAGTGCTCACTAGATACTCTATTTTGCAACTACTTCATCCATTTGGTAATGTTTTAAAAATTGTTGGTAAAAATTATTTGTCTTGCATTATTTGGTAAGTATAGAAATTTGTTTGGTGTGGGCGTGAACAAACTCTAGATGGGTCCGGGGGCATGTTTCCACAGAACATTTTAAAATCTATAATCTCTGAAATGGCTTTTTTTTCGTTCTGAGAAAGACATGACATGCAATTAAAAACGTCAAAATTTTAACATCTCAACCATCCACAACAACTGTTTTGTGTTTTGACTTTGTGAAGAGCTGCAAATTTTATTTGCAGATTGCCAGGAGGAATTTGACACAATCCTAAATAAAAAATACAACTAAAGCAGCCACAGATTTATAATTTTTCCCTGAAAATTTCTGTTTTTGTTAGATAAAAAGAGACATAAATATGAGATGAAGCGAACTAAAAACGTACTTGTTTTTGTAATTTTATTGTTTTCATATTTGTTGTCTTTGATTAATTAAATGACGAAATACCTCGTATTTTTCTTGAAATACTACAAACTGTGTTAGTATTCTATATAAAAAGTGCTGTAGAGTAGTTTTACTAACCCCAGAGAACAAATCGTTTCTTTTTTCAAATGCTTTGGACTTTGTACTTTGCCCTCGCGTGACCTTTTTTCCATTTTTTACAAACGTACAATGCCATATAATAAAAAACTTACTGACCTCAACCGTACAGGTCTGGACAATACCCAACCTCGGGCTTGCTGTATTGACCTCGCTATCACTCGGCCAATACAGCAATACCTCGGTCGGATATTTTCCCGTACTGCCCTCACCCTCGGTCAGTAAGTTATTAACATTTCTGAAATTTTAATGGCAATAAATTAAATATATTTACGAACAAAATGTTCCCGAAGATTTTTACCTGTTTTGTATTTGGCAATTTTTGTTTCAGTCTTGGGCGTTTCGGTTTATCATGACCTTTCAGGATTCTCCTGATCTCCAGGCGACTGTAAAGTTCCTCACGATATCCTAGACGTAAATAGAGAGCATAATTAAAGATGCGGTACAGTCTGTATGTAAACAAAGGCTTTGTTTACATTTCGGTATCCAAAATATTGATTCTAGAGTATAAAAAATTATCAAGACACAACAATCAAGCTTTGCAAGAACATAAAATGAAATAAAAACCTAAATAAACTGTTTGTAAATAAAAAGAGGGCTCCTTTGTGCACATGCGCAGATCGGACTGTACCGCATCTTTAAAGGCGACGATTTTGACAACACATAGATGACGTGTAATGGTGGGCCTAAACAAGCGACGTTTTTGTCTACATGGACGTCACCCGCAAATAATTTTTATATTGGCGGCATTTTGCATCATAGCGCTCGTGCAAAGAAGAAAACTTTAAAAGTCTCACTTATGTTTTGTCATATATGTGTTGAATATTACCACAAACTTATAAAAACACAGTTTTTAATCCATTCCCGCGTCCGTGCTGACAAAAATGTCGCTTGCTTAAGCCACAGAGTAGAGACATCCAGAGCTGTAACTGACCGTCGTAAACACTGCGGAAGCTTACGTTTTGATGTACCCACTTTTTTCAGGCGACTGGGCAAAAAATGATCAACTGCGCGTGCATGCTCAGCAAGTTCAAAGTGAGTCGTCATCAGGTCGTCATCCAATCAGATGCATGCATCTAGTAACTTGCCGAGCATGCGCACAAAAAAACGTGGGTACACTAGTTACAACTCTGTATGTCACTCCTCTGAGCTTAAGCTCTCCAATGGCGTCAACATGCAGTTCTTGCTCAAAATCAAGAACGGCAGTCTGTAGTATCATGTTCGTGATTTGAATAAGAATGGCTGGCGCCATTACTTGCCCTATAATCGCTTCATTAAATTTCGGTTGTCAGAAACGTCGCTTACACAAGCGCTCAATTACCTTGTCAACTTAGGGAAACGCAGCTGCGTCAACGTGTTCCTTAACTCAAGTTCTTTAATTCGAATTACATTACGTAAGTGCATGAATTCGCTTAATATATCTCAAACTCATTAATAATTCAAGAATAAATCAGCCAACATATTGCTATATTTTGCTCACATGATAATACTGGATACCTGATAAAGTATATTGATCCAGTCCTAGGACGGCATCAAAATTAATTCAGTCCTTGGACTGGATCAAAATTAATTAAATAGTGATTTATTCCCATGCATGAGATGTCATTTCAAATCCGACTATGAGGACTGGACTAGATTTCAAGTCCTCGCATTTTGATCAAATTGCGCGTACTTGAAATTTAGTCCAGTCCTTATAGTCGGATTTGAAATACTAGGCCTACATAAGAGAGCTCCTTAACGCATGTTTATTCCCTGAAGTCATTTCAATATATATAATTGATGTGCTTGGAAGGTTGCGTTGTTCGATATTGTTGCTTTCATTTTATGCTCTCATTGTTGTATAAAAAAATGAAACTGATTTACCAGAATATCTTTTTCCTTCCAAGCCCAAGGACCTGATATCTGATAACACGCGACCACAGACGCATGATTCACTTGAAATAGGCATCTGAATAAATTGCATTTACATATTATCAATTTAGCTGCAATTTGTCTGCGAAAGCGTGGGATAATAAGATGGCGGCAACCAATTGGCAAGATTAAAAGTTCTTTGCAGGTGTCCCAAACTAAATATAGTGGAATGAATGATTATTTTGGCTGTCGCTTTCATAAATTGAAGAAGTGAGGAGATTAGAACATCCTTTAGTAGCATCGACATGGGAGGTGGATAGCGCTTTTCGAGCAATTTGATTGGTCGGTTAGCTCCGGATATCCTTGCTCTATTCATCTCCGGACCGAAACAAAATATCTTCTTGTTTTGTTCCGAAAACAGACGAGCAAATCTTTTTACTAAACGAAGCTAAACACAAAGAAAGTCATTCAGAAGATTTTGCCGGTTTAAGAATGTGTAGAGGTGTTTAAAAGCTTGTCAATATTATCAGTTTGTTTACAACTATTACGGCAGGCGGGAGCTGTAGTACAAAACCTTTTTAAAAATATTTTCGTTGTTTTTTGGTAATTTCTGTTTTGTGTTATGGTATTTGCTAAAACAATTATTCACATCATTGTCGGTGAATAGTGCAAGAATATTCACTGCCATGATTGTATACTGCTAAAAACTGTCCCTGTAAACCACACCAAAATATTACCCTTTTTATTATGTATTGAATGCTTTTTTAACATTTAATTATTAGCTGTAAAAACGTTTGGGAAAAACTACTGAAATTTAAACGCGGTACCTCAATTTATACACAATATAATTCATCTGGCACCTACCGTTCGAAACTATTAGAAAAAACCTTCTAATTTGTTCGGTTCTGCTTTTTATTAAAAATACCGAGTCCGCTATCAGCCATATACGACGAGAGCGAATGGTATAATTGTTTTAATTTGTAATATAGTCTAATATAGCCATTAACTGAAGCAATAATTAATTATCCTCTGTTACAATGTCTTGACAACTAGTTCGGCCAAAAACCGCTTGGCCTAGAAAATTTGAAATCGCTGTTGTTTCGGTATATTAATTCTTTAAAAAAACTTGTATTTAAACTCATTTCTATGTACATGTAATGAATGTATTTTGCTAACCTGTCAAATTTTTTGAGAGTTTTTCCTTGTACTATTATCTTTCTCAAAGCGAATATTTTCCTTTTTTCTGCTTCATAAAACTCATGTAGTTTTTGGACCGCCATCTTGTTTTTCGCTACTCGCCGTATATCAGCTGATATACGGCGAGTAATTCAACCAATTAGATTGCAGAACAGCTCATATACGGTGAATGATATATATATATACACGTATAGGGATTGCACCTATGACCTATGTTTATATTATCATGATTTCTTGAAACAAAAAAGTCATGAATAATAATTCATGTATAATTCCCTATTAAGATTTGGAGGCAGTTGAAGTACGGACTTTGTTGCAATAGATTGTACGTACACTGTACAATAAGCTGTCCTGGTTTGCCTCTGAAATTCATGAAAAGATCATAACACCTTGAAGCTTCGAGCAAAGGCCATTCGCCAGTGCTATATTATATAGATGCCTCATGCCGGCCATGTCATTGCGAAAACCAGCTCGAGACCTTTTTCCAGATAGTTCAGATACAAATCACGGCATCTACGAGGAAATTTCCGGCCACCAACATCTATATATTATAACATGGCAAATGAAAGGACTATATATATATTTGTAATTAAAATCAAGTAAGAAAATATATACAAAGAAAATTTCGAAACTTGGAACTACTGGGGGGAATTTTACACTCAATTATTAAAGGAAATTTATTATATTACGCATATCAATGTATTAAAATCCTATACTGGCACTGCCAAAATGATTTACAATATTCCTAAATTTAAATAACTCTATTATTCAGCTACTAACCTCGCGATTACATGAAATACACTGTTTTGTAGACGACATTTCAACATTTAAGTTTAAAACTTCACTTGATATCTGCTGCGCTGTGTTTTCAGTATTCCGCTATAAAGGAACAGATTGTATCTATGTTAAAAACAGAACAAGACTGACCTTGAATATCTTAGTCTGAATATAATTCTGAATATGTGGATATTTTTAGCTAAGAATAATGAGCGGTTAGTTTGATGTGTGGGCATAAATATCAAAGCTAATATAACACTCCTTTTCGTTGCTATGGAAACTATAGCAATGAGAAGTTGAGAAAATTTAATGAATTTATTCATGACTGCATGCATGGCGCAACCGCAAATATTTACATTCCGAGTAAAAAATAGAACGGGACAGCCAAATTTAGTAGAAATGTTTTAAGTTTTGTAAACTCAATTAAAATAGCTTATTTGTGTTTGTGAGAAAATGTAAACTCGTTGCGAGAGTGAGTCATATAATATCGTATGGCGTTATAAGTCTTAACTATACTTAAGGCTTTTAGGCTACGTTTACACTTTTTCCGTAGCAACGTGAAAAAACACCTACCCCGCTACCCGTACCTATTAGGAACTCTATTTTCACAGGAATTATTGCAACAGGGAGATGTTGTTTCGCTCAGCTTCTGGTAGTTGTACATTCCGTATCTATCTGATCGGTACTTTTTCGCGCCGATTTACTATCCGGTATAGTGTAAACGTAGCTTAAATTAATATTAAAAATACATATATA